TCTGTGTGAGTTGGGCGGGAACACGGGAGATGGAGGCAGAAGCCAAGTGTTGGCACAGTGGTGCAGGTGAAGGTGAGATGACCCTAGACTGCCAAAGGGACCCACCGAGCTGTCCGGGACACAGGGGTGGAGAGCCACATACACTCAAAGGGTGCGGTGCCGCCATCTCGGAGTGGGCAGCGCTGGGTGCTGCCGTTGCTGATCAAGGTCCTTGCTTTCTCGGGGGGACAGTGCCTTTCTAGCGGGGCAGCAGCCTGAGGTTGCCTGTTCCCATGACTATCCTGCTACACCCACAGTTACCAAAGTCGGTTCATCCGGGCTGCACGTTACCATGAGTGAGCCCGGAGGATGGGCTCAAAGTCCTGCTTTTAAGGTGTTTCCAGGCTACAGGTAGCTGCTGACATATTTACCACATAACTGCATCCATTGTGATAAAAAAAATTTCTAGACCATCCTAAACTTATTTAAGGGCCTCACTTGGTACTCAACATTTCTGTCCGCTGACTTGTAAACACACGAACCAGCGGCTCTGTCCATGTTTCCAGAGCTTTCCTGCGTCTTGAGCGAGTGAAAGTCAGGCCTCCGGGTGCCCCCCGGGTGCCTCAGGCTGATTCCCCCCTGACAACCACTCCGCTGGTTTCCATAACAAGTGGCTCCAGTACCCCCAGGCACCGGCTGAGTCCCCAGTGGCTGGCAGCTCAAACTACCTGTGGAGCAGTTTGGGGGCCCTGCCCTCCCCATTCACCTGGGCCTTAACCCTTTAGGACTCAGGGCCTGCTGACAGCCTACTTACAGTGGCTTTCAGCCAAGACATGGCTTGGGGTCCTGGGCACGGGTGTTGGAACTAGCAGGAGGCAAAGCTACAGGGAAAGGCAAAAGCCCTGAACTCAGGAAACAAGAGGGGAGACCGGCAAAGGACCAGTGTGCGTGAGTGATGATGCCGGGCAGGTCTCTCGGCTGTACCGTGAACAAATCTGCGTTGGACCAAGTCCAACCGGAACGCTCCTTCCAAGGGTGGCTGGCAACAAGCTCATGAACGTTGGGCAGGTTAGTGGAAGGGAACACGGTGGAGGACTTTGTGCTGGTGAGAGGGGCAGAGAAAGAGCGGATGGCCCCTCAGCATGATGAACCACATCAGAGTGACTCCAACGATGGGCTCCAGCACGTGGCCGCTGTGAGGATGGCGCAGGACCGGGCAGCGCTTCTTTCTGCTGGGCAAGAAGGCGCTTTGAGCGGGAGCCTCGGCACGGGCAGCACAGAGGATCGGCCTGGTCCAGCTCAGTGCGCTCTCCCCCACACCTACAGCTCCCGGGGATCTGTGGCGAAGGGCTCACAGGGACAGCCCAGGCAGGATCACACCTTTGACAAGTCGAGGGTCTGTGGCTTCCCCGCATTGGGCAAGTCTTCCAGTGCCGTGTCCCTGCACCCCGGGAGTCTCGAGGGCATCTGGGTGATTCTCACAGTATTCCAAACTTGCATCAGTGCCATCCATGCCTACTCGACAAATCTACTCAAAACAGAAAGCCTCACTGCTACCGAGCCGATTCCAGCTCAGTGACCCTGGAGGGCAGAGTAGAACCGGCCCACCGTTCTCCCAGAGTGGCTGTTGGTTCCGAACTGCTAACCCCGTGGTTAGCGGCCCCCTGTACCACCAAGGCTGCCTAACAGACTAGTGCCAACCTAACTTTCACGTGTGCCAATTTGCGACTCTTTGTGGTGTTATATTTTATTGCAGTCGTCTGGAACCTATACTGTCTGTCGCATTCCACGGGCCTCTGCCGTCTATGACCCTGACAGTCCCAATCCTCAGGGACAGGTGGGAGCTAGGGCGAAGTGTCCTGTTGTCAGGGGCCCTGTGAGCCAAACAGAGCCTTGCAGTCACTGCTATGCTTGAGCCACCTGTTGTCCACCTTACTGAGGACCTTCCTCTTCCTCACTGCCCCTGAGGAAGCATGGTGCCCTTCTCTAGGCAGGGGTCTTTGCTGAAGTACAGACAGGGACATGCCTTCTGCTTGTACTTCTCCCGAGACAGGTTGGTCTGTCCTACATGTCCATGACACGGGCCACCAGGCCAGTTTAACAGTGAGGTGCCGAGTGGGAAAAACATGGATTAAAATAGTTCAACAGTTTGCATGTCACCAGCGGGACAAGGACCCTCTGTGCTCTTGTGCTGCTTCCATCGTGTAATTAAGTGATGGAGCGTGAGGGTAAATCCCCAGACAAGGAGTGTCTCTACAAAGGTCCAAACACAATAAACGTGCAGAGGGGGCTCTGAAGGCTTAGCGGGAAAACTCTTCCAATTCCATGTGCTGTACCTACACACATCCACTTTTCTGATCACCTCTTTACAGGGATGCTTATGCTATTACCCACATTTTTGCTTCCACTTTCTTGGAACTTCAGGCCATTTTAATGTGGATGAAAATAACAGCGCCGATACAAACCCCCTTAACCTAATTGCTTTCCCCGTTTCTGCTCACCCCTTCTGGAGTTCTGCTGCGGCAGCCAAGCCCTCCACACTGCTTGGACCCGGCCCATTATCTGATCAGGCCCTCCATCTGTGACCCCCGCAGTTCAGTTGCTCCAGTGTTGGCTTAGCTGGCACCAGTGACTTTTATACCCAGAGCTCTACTTACTGGTTTGCAGATGACTCCAAATGGCAGTATCAAGCACTAATGCCCACAGCAGCAGTTATTCTGATACTCTACAACCCCTCCCAACCCAGGTCCCACAGTGCTGCCCCAGCCTGAGAACTGCACCGTAGGTTCCCACTCAGCTGATCTTGGAGGCAACCGGGGATCTGGTGCAGCTGTAGATCCCCAGGTGATTCCACTGATCAACCAGGTGTGGGGAAGAGGCTCGAGAATGGAATACGTTCAGCCAGGAAAACGGCACCCAGACCTCCAAGCCTGGCACGGGAGCCTGTGGCCACTCGGGAGTCTTCATCACAGTACACAACAGGCACATGGTCAACACTGAAGCACTGCTCCGAGTTCTCATGGGTAGCTGAGGGCTGATAACCGCACAGCAAGATGATCAAAGCAAATTTACTCATGAAACCTCCTTGAACATTGCCATCCGTACAGGTTATGGCCTGGTGGCCAGTGCTTCCAAGTGCATGCCAGTCACCAGATGCAAAAAGCAGCTTCTGATTGTACTCTTAATGTGTGCTGTGTATCAACAAAACTTTATCTTTTAAAAAGGCTAAATTCTAACTCAGGTTTGAGGTTGGGAGTTTTACCCAAAGCCTTGATGATATATTCACGTTCTTGCTCCAAGTTCAACCCAAAACTTAATCACGAAGGATGTCTCCCGAATCCAACTGCTAGCCAGGGCCATGGCAAACTTGTCTAGCACAAACTACTCCTACCTGCTTAGGAAAATGTCCCCAATTGTCCCAGTACAGGTGTTCTGGGACTCACTCAAAGCTTAACTGCTTAGAGCACCAATGAAACACATGTTCCTCTGGTTCTTTGAAGCTTCCTCGCCCCCCCCCACTATCATGACCCGTCCTGCCTTTCTGCTCCGGCTAGCCTGGATCATGTACACTGGTCAGGTAAACCCCACAGGATCAGAAATGGAAGTAGTGATACCAGGAGGCCAGGGGCAGGAATGGGGAATCCATCATAATTATTGACATAGAACATCCTCCCACCCCAGGGGGACAAACAACTGTGGGTGAAGGGAGACAGACATGAAAACAGCAATAATTTATAATTTATCAAGGGGTCATGAGGTTGGGGGGAGGGAGGGAAAGAGAAGCTGATAGCAAGGCTCATATAGAAAATGATGTAGAAATATGCTCGATACAGTAAGATATGGAATGTTTTCAATAAAATGAAATCAACAGTAATACAAACAAAAAGCCCGAGCCACTGTAGGGATGGAACTATTCTATGAACTTCCGTAGGAAGCCGTCACTCCCACCAAATGACCCGTGTACAGGCCATCATGGGATTCGGACAACTTGCTAATAGAACCAATAAGCTGCATGGAGTCCTAATGAAGGGGGGGTCAGTCGGTCCTGCCATCCCAGTAGGCTGAAAGGGAGATGTGAGCAGAATGGACCAGGGACAGCCACTAGGGACGGCATGCAGCTAGCTCTGCAGACAGCTTGCAGCTTCAGCATGGCGCCGAGTTGTACCAGCAGCAGAGGGCAGGGCACGGTCCTGATCAAGGAACTGTATCCTGTTTCTCCCCTAAAATACTTCAAGTATGGCTCCTGTGAGAGGGTCCCTAGAGACCAGCGTGTGAACGAGAAGGACACAGCGGATTGTGAAAGAGGACGGAGCAGCACAGTCATTTGGAAAAGCTGAACATTTGAGACCTTTTTCATTGGACTCGTAGGAACCAGCTCTGTGTGCAGCGGTTCTTCGACCCCCAAAGGGGTCGAACGATCCTTTCACAGGGTCACCTAAGACCATCGGAAAACATAAACATTTCACAATATATAATTACATATTGTTTTGTGATTAATCACTATGCTCTAATTATGTTCAAATTGTAACAATGAGAATATATCCTGCATATCAGATATTTACATGACGATTCATAACAGTAACAGAAATAGTTATGAAGTAGCAATAAAAACAGTTGTTATGGTTGGGGGGGGGGTGTCACCACAACATGAACTGTATGAAAGGGTTACGGCATGAGGAAGGTTGAGAACCACTGCTCTGAGCAGTTCAGAGACAAACAGCACAGGAAATGTCTGCCAGCAGTGAAAGCACACAAGGCCACAGTGCACGATCAGAGGAACTTTCTACATTTCTGAAATGCCTCCTCTACATTAGGCTCCATCTTCTTGGGAAACTTCCCACTGCAGCCAAGGACCCAGCATGAGGGGGCTCTGTAGCCACACCATAGGTTTCTTCTCTTATGGGCGCAGAGCCCTTACTGTACGTACTGACTTGTTAGAAACATGTAGCTGACAAGAACCAGACCCCACTCGAGTTTCTATCTATGTGCTATATATGTTAAGATTGACACATAAACGCACGTTTCTGCTTTAAAGGAAACAAAATTCATGTTTCTTTCCTTTAATAATGTAGATCTAATCTGACTGAGAGAACACCTACTATGATAGTTTTAATAAAGATATAACATGCCATTGTTGTCAATTAAAAAAAGACTACACCAAATAATTTCCAGGCTAAAAATAAATCTATAAAGCAGGTAACATACCAGAGAACCATTGAAGGACAGCCATCCTCTATTAGTCACACGAGCGGCCTCAAACAGTGCTCAAAATGTAAAGCCCAGACTAAAACTCAGAACCAAACCGCTGGCCAAGGATCACGGGCATGGTCAGAGGAATGGGAGACAAGCTCCTGGAGCGCTGTGCCGGGCTCCGTGAGGTGGACATCAGGAACCCCGCTCCTGGTGACACAGAGCTAGTGAAAGGGACCCAGGCAGTTAGGCTCCAAGCCCCCCTCCCACAGCCCTCACCACCTCAGACTCCTCACAGAAGGGAAGCCCGAGTACTGCCGCCCACCCTGTGACCCTCACGGCACACTGCTGACTCAGTGACCCTGCAGGACAGAGCAGAAGGGTCCCACGTGGGTTCCAAGGCCATCACTCTTCTGTAAACACCCTCGTCTTCCATCCAAAGGGCAGCTGGTGGGCTGGGCTAGCACCCCACTGTACCACCCACTTCCAGCCAGTGCTGATACATTGCCGAGTGGAGAAAGGGGAGCCTCCCAGAACCCCTCCACATCCAATCGGGACAGCCGGGCCGAGTGACTAGCTCATCCAAGGATTTGACCATGGCCGGCCTGCTTGCACAGAACACACAACAGCCAGCTCACCTCACTGTAACCTTTTTATTCGTCTTTTGGAAACAGGAATTTATTTGCCAGGAAGGATGATCCCATCATACT